CCGTCCGGAGGGTACTGTCCTGTCCCCCAGGCCCCCACTGGGCTCCAGCTCCTCCCCAGCCCCTTACGAGGTCCTCGGGCTCCGGCTCGGGCGCCGGCTCGGGCGTGGCGGCCCGCTCCTCCCGCCGGCGCCGGCGCTGCTTGCGCAGCTCGATGAGGTGCTGGATGCCGCCCACGTCGATGATCTCGCGCCGCAGGTCCACCGAGCTCCTCCGCATCCGCTCCTGGCCCTGCACCAGGAGGGAGGGAGTGGGGTGTCTGCCTGGATCCCTGCCTCGTAGTGCTTGGCCATCAGCAGGCTCCTCTCCCCCCTCGACCCCTGCCCCCGGCAGCCAGAGCTGCTGGAGAGCCGCCCGCTGGGACGAGGGGCTGGCCCAGCTCACCTTGAGGACCGCGATGCCGAGGGGAAGGGCCCCCCGGTGCTTCTCATCCTCCAGCTCCCGCATCTCCATCCGCACCAGCACTGGCGGTGAGCCCGGGCACTGCCCAGGGCTGCTCTGTAACCCAGCACAGACAACCCTCAGCCCCCGGGCTTGGCCCTGGGAAGGTGCCAGATCCGCAGGGAAGGGCCATTGGGGCTAGTGCCAGGGCTCAGCCTGGCTCCGGCGTCCCTGGACTCGCCTGCTTCGCCGCCTCTTCTTGCGCCAGCCTCTGGTCGATGAGCTCCGTCGCCCATTTCAGGTCCTGCTCCACAGTCGCCTCCATGGCTCCGGCCCTGGGCACTGCCTGCCCTGGTGGGTCCTCACTGCTGTGTCCGCAGCTGCTCGGCTGCTCCAGGCTTTATGCGGCGCCCAGGGGACAGGTGTGCCCGCCCCGTGACTGGGGGCCTTTGTCATGAGCTCACCAGCCACATTCTCCCCGGTCACCTTCCCACAGCCCTGGGCATCGCCCTTAAAAGGCCCCTGGCATGGCAGGGGGACCTAGGGGGGCTCCGGCCTGTGGTGTGGGCAGGAGCCAGAGCCACCGCACCAGGGCAGCAGAGCGCTGGGGCTGGTCACCTCCTGCCCTTCGTCACCCCTGGGCCCATCCCAAGCCGGTGCCCCGGGAGCTGGGGTCCTGCCCCATGCCCTGCCGCACATGCTGCTCTCTCTGCACTGCTATGGCAGATGATGTCAGGTGCTGGCACATCTGCCAGCCCCCAGGGACACGCCAGCCAGACCCCAGCCTGCCTGGAATAACTCGGGCAGGAGCTATTCCTGTCTCTGCACTGCGCACAGCCCCGCTGGGACCAGAGGAGGGGGCTCATATTGGGGGGCAAGGGAGGTGCCACAGTCATCATCACCGCCCGAGGACCACGAGGCGGGCACACTCCAACCTAGAGCCTGAGAGTGACCTTTGACCCTTCCCTTCTGAGGTCACGGGAGATGCCTTGGTATGCAGTGGGGGTCCCTCCCCCAGGTCCTGCAGTGGGAAGGGGACAAGCTGTGCGCTGCGAGAAGCTGGGATGGGGGGGGCACCAGACAAGTAGAGTGGAGCAGGACCCCCCCACCAGCAGCCCCTGCACAGGCGCGTGCCGGCACGCACAGGCACACACTTGCTGCAGCCCTGGGGCCGAGGACAGGGCTCTTGCAAGGGCAGAGCCAACAGGAGCCAGGAGCTTGCCAGCAACGGGGAGGAGCCGGGCACAGAGCCCCTGGGGGGTAACAGGGCCTTGGTGCTCCTGCCCCCCCACCATCCAGCATCCCTGCAGACCGCCGAGCTGGGAAGGATTTATTGATAAATACAGAGTACGGACACGGTGGCCCCGGCCCCGCGGGCGCCCTGCACCGCAGCTCCTGCTGGTCTCCCCTCCAGCATGAGCAGCACAGTCCAAGGGGGCTCAGGCAGGGGGACCCGCCAGCCCTCACGGGCACCGCCCCGGTCAGCGCCTGTCACAGGAGCAGCCCAGCAGACACAGGCCACTCCTCCAGGGTCATGGGAGGGCAGAGCCCCGGTGCCCGTCCACGCCGGGGCCAGCCCGAGTGCCATGGCCTAGGGGCCGTGCCCACCACCGGGTCAGTTCCTGGGGGGCGGCGGCTGGTTCACTATGACCTGGACCACAAAGTCCTTCTGCAGCCGCGTGTCCTGCAGGCGCGTGCGGTCCGTCAGCAGCTTCCCCGAGAAGAACCAGCGCTGCCAGGCGGGCTCGATGCCCTCGCGGGCCTGCAGCTGCCGCTTGAGCTGCCCCACCGTGTCGGCCATGCTGGCGCCCAGCCGCACGTCCCGGCCCGTCGACAGCCGCACCTTGAGCGGGAACTCGCGCCGCGCCCCTGGCGCCGGCTCCGCCGCCTCGGGGCCCTCGTCCTCGCTGCGCTCCTGGATGAGGTTCACGGGTGGCGCCAGGCAGTACACGGGCAGCTGGTACCGGTTCCCCAGCTCGTCGTAGCACTCGGTCAGGGAGCCTGCGCGGGGCAGAGCCGGTGAGGGCTGGCACGAACCACCCTGCCGGCGCCCCACATTCCCCTGCTCCCAGCCCTGCTGGTGCCCCTCACTCCCGACCCGCACCGCCTGCCCCCCTACCAGAGCCCCTCACTACGGACCCCCAGCCACTGCCCCGACCCTGCCCAGCCCATCTCTCCCACCCCAGGGCGCAGGCTGCCCCAGTCTGACGGGGGTTGTGGTCCCCCACCCCACATCCTGCACCCCGGCATGCTGCCACCCCCCCGGCCGGAGAGAGGAGGGAGCGGGCTCCAGGGTCCGAGGCGGAGAGCCCGCCCTGACCCCAGGACCCTGCCCGGTGCCCTCCCCGCCCTGCCAGCCCCCAGGCGGCACGCGAGCGGGCGGCACCTACCGTGGGGCAGGGTGATGCTGGCACCGTCCAGGATGGCCTGGGCCAGGCCGTGGTCGCTGGCCTCCACGGCGCCGGCGGCCGCCTTGAGCGCATCCCAGATCTCGGCGCGGCCCTCGAAGGCGGGCGCCGTGTCCCAGAACTCGTCGCGCTTGCTGCGCAGCTGCCCGGCCGTCATGGGGTAGTCGCTCTTCCACTTGGGACGCTCCTTGCGCAGCGGCTCGTTGCGGCCTGCGGCACCAGCACGTATCAGCGGGGGGGGGGGCTCTGCCACCGACTCCGGGCACGGCCCCGGGCATGTCCCCGGCCGGGCGGGGGCGGCGGCGCGTCCTGTTGCTCCGGCTGCCCCGGGCCCGGCCCCGCAATTACTCGGGTGCGCCCGGCCCGTGACGGGAACCAGGAGTGAGTCACGGCTGCAGCACCCCCCACCCCAGCCCGCTGGAGCCTGCCTCCCCCGGC